GAGAAAAAAATGTGACAATGAGTGTGTATATGTCCATGAATGACTGAAAAATTGTGCTGAACACTGGAATTTGACACAACACTGTAAAATGATAGTGAATCAATAAAAAAATGTAAAAAAAAAAAAGAAAGACAACAACCAAAGTTGTTTTATCACAGTTTTACTGAATTCCAAACCTATTACATGGTAATAAAGGTAAAAAAAATTAAAAGAGTAGAGAAAATTCAGAATCAATCACTGTTTAATTCAAATACTCTTTGTAAAAAATAAAAATCTTGAGAAGAAAAAACCCCACATAGATTCTCTAATAATACCCAAAGGGGTTAAAAAAAATAAAAGAAAGAATAATGAAAACTGAGAAAATATATATAGTAACATAAATGTAGGTAAATTAGGACATCTAAAATTGTTATTGTAGATTTTCTGTTTTATCAATGTTTTCCACCAAGGAGAATATGTCACTGTTTTGTATGCAGTCAGAGGAATATTAAACATCAAATTGTTAACAGAAAAGCAAACAACAAATCAAGCAAATCAAGTCCACCATCACTCCATGGGATTACTGATAATGTGGATGCTGTCATACTTATTTGCAATTTTTAAAAGCACGTACTCATCACTCTCTTACATAACTCTCTTCCCTACTATAGGAAATGTAGATTATGTATATTTCCTTTAGTAAGGTAGATTATGTATTTACTCATTCATGTAACAAATACAGCAGTAAATTTGACAAACTACCATATTATATGCCATGCACTGTGTTAGGCACAGGGAATACAACCATGAATAAAGCAGGTGGTACCTGCCGACATGAAGACAAGTAACTAAACATACAATTTGACCATAATAAGAAAGTAGGAACTAATGTAACTACAATTCTGAAGACTCCTAGAAAGGAAACTATAGGGTGCTATGAGAGAATATAAAAGCGGAACCTAAATTTGAATATTTATTTTACCAGGAAACTCCCTGAGATATCTAGTATTGATAGAATATCCATGTTGTCTCCCAGATTTTCCAACCTACCTTACAATTACACAGGGTCATGTGATTGGTTCTGGCCAATGGGCTGGGAAGAGAAAAGTGTCACTTCCAGGAGGAAGCATGTAAGAGACAGTGCCACCATCCACCTCTTTCCTTCCCTGCCTTGAAGGTCACGGAAGTCACGTGTTGAGAAGATGGTTCACAAGGTAGGGGCAGCCTGGAGTGGTAGGTCATGACAAGGAGGACAGGTACCCTGGAAAGTCACCCAACTTTCATCAAACTGCCTGTGAGCAAGAGGTTGACCTCATTGTGCTAAGCCACTGAGATTCAGAGGTTCATTCAACACTTCAGCAAGCCTAGTCTTCCTCTGCCACCTCCTCACAGAAATTATGCTTAATCTCATGACCTCTTTCCACTTCATCAATGGAGAAATGAAGATATGGAACAGTTAGTGAGTTGTCTAAAATTAGTCATGAAACAGGACATCCTGCCTTCTGGGTGAGAGCTATCTTCAAAGACAGGTGTTTTTTCAAAAACAGGCTGAGACCCACTAATTCCAAAATCAATCTGTTGGGGCACAACTAGAAATTTTCAAAAAATAAAATAGAACAGACTACTCCAGAGTAGAAAATATCAGAGTGCATTCCATGTATTAAGTATTAGGAAACGTTTATTTAAATACACATACATAAAATAGATTAAAAAAACAAATACTTCAATTGTTTCAAAGTTTACAAAATAAATACACATACACAAATATATTGCATTATGCATACAAATACAAATGTGTACATATGCATTAGAGAGTTGCCATCTAAATTCATTTCTTACCGTGTCTTACAGACAAAATGTTTGCATTATGCTGCCTTACACTGCACAATGAGTTATTTACAGAGTCATTTAGATAAAACAATATGAAAATACTAATGAAGTGGATGCATTAAATAATTGATTTTTTACCATTTATTTTTAATTTGTACTTTCTTTTTTTTTTCAATTTTTTTAATAGAAGTACTGGGGATTGAACCTAGGACCCCGTGTATGCTAAGAACATGTTCTACCACTGAGCTATACCTACCTCCCTCCTAAATGATACCATTTAATCAGACTTCGTTATCAGAAAAAAAAACAGTATTAGCAGCATCATGGATTAATTTTTAGATGCCAAAAGAGTTGCAAAAACTGCCATGAAAATAATGCTAAATGTAAGAAAATATATAATGGACTCTCGGGCAGCAGGAAAATGAAAGTTAGGATTTGGATTCACTGATTCATCCATCCATTCATTCAGGAAATATTTGTTGAGTATCTACCACACGCCAGACACTGGGCTAGGCTCTGAGAAAACAGCTATGGATAAGCTAGAGGTGTTCTTGCCTTTATGTAGTTTTATAGTTTGATCAGGGAAGATGGACATTAGATTTTAAAAGTACATCTTTCGTTCTTGAGCTATGACTGCAAAGCTATTTGTGTATATATGGGCACAAACATTTGTTATGAATTACTGACATGAGGATGTGTAACACAATTTACAAATAATAATAAATACACAATATTCTCTACTGAAAATTCAATAAATTTGAATTTATTCAAATAAATTATAATAAATAAATTACAATATTACTTATTAAAAACTCCATGTGGGCAACTGATTCCTACAGAATGTTTTTGCTGGCATTTTGGTGAACTCGTATCTGGGACCCAGGTACGGTTGCAACGGAGGAAAGACTGTACTTCCAGTATGAATGTTGGCGGATATTTTCATTTATGAAGCATGAAAGTGAAACAACGAAGACATGTCAGGATTTGATCCACTCATCAATGACGTCAATCAGTCCTTTGCTAAATAAGATCATAGTTTTTGAATACTAGAAAAACAGTTCCTCCATTTTTTGTGCTAGTCACAATGTAACCATCACAGTCCCAACAATTTTAAGTTTGATCTGCGTTATTAATCATTTCTCCATCCCTGGAAGTCAAAACAATCAACAAAACAATCAGTCAGGCCCTAATTGGTAGCATTTGCAGATTTTGCAGTCTAAATTTCCATGGGAGCACCATGGCCAGTTTCAAGCTACCAGTGTGACCTCCTGGTACACGGAGAATAGAGCTGAGTTGGAAAGAGACACGCAGTAGTAGTGCCATTTCTTTATCCGTAAACTGAAGATCATAACAGCAGCTACCGTATAGTTCTTGGGTGTTCAAAATGAGACAATGCACATGAAGTGCTCACCACAGTGACTAGCACGCAATAGGTGCCCAAGATATATTAGCTACTGTCATCATCTTGATTGATCTTCCCTTCCAGGGTCACCCTTCAGGGTTTCCATAGATCAGCAGGACACCACCTTTGCCGTCTGCACAGCCCCACAGTTGTTACAGGCAACCCCACCCTACCTCACTTACTGTACAAATATTTGCCTAAGCATTAGCAGACCCAAACCCTGTTATGTTTTTGTTACTCCAGAACCAAGAGATATTAAATCTTAGTCTCATTTCAGTGGATGAGAAGACTTAGACTCCAGGGGGTTAAATAACCTTCCTGAGGCCACACAGCCAGGATTCTTCCAGCTGACGCTGAAGCCGCTCTGCCCTGTACCATGTTATTAACATCCATCCCAGTGGCCAAACGACAGGCTAAAGCCCCAGCAGAATGCACTAGCTGCCACAACGTGTGAGCAGAAAATGTGTTAGACAATTAACGGTACATTTAGCCTGCATGTAACAGGAACGCAAATACAGCATCTTAAAGAAGGATTCTTTTTCTCGTGTAACAAGTCCAAAAGGAGGTAGACCAGGCCTCATGCATTTATTCGCAGATGCCATCAAGGCCTCAGCGTCCTTTAGCCTCCTGCTCAGTCTTCAGCATGTGGTTCTCTTCTTTCTTCGTGGTCATAGAGGGTTACCCCATCTCCAGGTATTACATCTACATTCCAGATAGGGAGAAGTCAAAACACACATATTTTCCAAGTGTGCTCTTCTTATACATATATATAAAATATTTTTATATATTTATATCTTATATAATGTATATTATATAATATACTTTTATATTATAATATGTATTATATATTATATTATATTTATATATATATAAACATATTTATATATAAGTATGAGAAATACTCACTTTCCCAGAACCCCCACCTCTGGACTTCTGCTTATACCTCTTGGCCAGAATCAGGCACAAGGCCATCCCTCGTGACCAAAAGATCCTGGGTATTGTGTCTTTTTAACTGGACACAGGACACTAACACAATTGGGTTTCTGTGACAAAGAGAAAAGAAGAGACTGAGTAATCAGGAAAGCAAACAGACAGCTTGATCTCGAGTGATCCTCAGAGCAGCCTGCAGGTTTTCAGGGTTGAGAGGAGAAAGAGCAGCAGCGTAGACTCTCTGAATGAAAAGAGAACTTTGAGCTCAGCGGGCTTGTCCAATCCCCTGTCTAATGAGGGAGTTACTTCTACAGTTTCTCGAACAAATGATCGTCCAGCTTCTGCTGATTACAGACAGCACAGTGGTGCTTGGAGGCTTGACTGCTATAGCAACAGAATAGGACTTCAGGCCCTAGCAGTAAATTGACTACAGAATTATGGTCAAGAGCTGGAAAAGAAAAATGTGAAAACAAGGCACAGTCCAACTAGATGGCAGAGCGAAGCGTTACAACCTAGATAAGAGACTGCAGGGTCCAGTGAATCCTAATCATGCAGTCAAAAGAGTCCCATCCTCCTAAACCAATTGATGAAAAGTTGAAAAAAAAATTAAGTAAGGATGAAAATTAAAAGACGTGGAGGGGACGCATGATGAAAGGCATGGACTGGCCCCTGTTGGCACAGCCTAGAAGTCGGCTGTAAGAGGAAGCTCGGCGTGTTAACCTGGGGCCTGGGTAGAATTATCCCTGCACGTAGCACCCAGCTCCTGGCCTGACCATTTAACTCATTATTCTCTGACTCAGTGGTTCTCAAAGTGTGGTCCAGGGGTGTCTGAGACCCTTTCAGGGGGGTTTATGACGTCAAAACTTTTTATAATAAAACTAGTACATTCTTGCCTTTTTCTTTCTCAATCTCTCACTAGAATACAGTGAAATATTCCAGAGGCTACATGACCTGGGATATCGCTGTTGAAGCAGGTATGAGAATCCAATTTTCATTATTAAAGCAGACATTTAAAAGATTTACAAAAATGTAAAACAATGCCACTTTTCACACTAGTTTTTTAAAGAAATTTTTTTATGATTTGGAGAAAATAGTTTATCCATAAAAATGTATGATTTATGTTAATATGTAATGGGTTTATGACTATTATTTTTAAATTAATTAGTAACACTTTAAAAATTTTCTCACATTTAATTTCTGTTACAGTGAATATTAATTGTTATAGACACATAAACAAAATCTCTTTGGGGTTCTCAATAATTTTTAAGAGTATAAAAGCGTCTTGACACCAAAAAGTTTAAGACCCACTGATCTAATTTACAATCCAGTGGAGGGGTGTCTAGGAACTAGTGACCCCAGCCCAAATGAGATGGTAAGTATGCTCATTGGATAAGTGATTCAGTAACACTAAGAAGGCATTGAAATAAGAATAATGATGATGAAGTAACCAAACCCATTATTAATTCTTTTGTGTTAAGTTTAGGAATAAGTTTTATAACTATCAAGAAAATCTTGGTCCATTTGCAACCTTAGGTGTTCGAAATGTTTAAGAGAATCTGACATATTACAGAAACTGACCCATGAGCCCTATGAGTTACTGAAATTTTCCATCTCATTTTTTACTTATTTTAAAAAGTATAACTGAATTTGTCTACATTTATAAACAGTATTTAAACACCTGACACAGAATACATTTAGAAATCTGTACTGTCTTAGTCTGTTCACGCTACTATAACAAAAATACCATTCTGGGTGGCTTATATACAACAGACACAGTTCTCACAGTTCTGCAGGTTGGAAAGCCCAAGACCAAGGTGCCAGCAAATTTACTGTCTGGTAAAAGACCACTTGCTGGTTCACAGATGACCGTCTTTTTGCTGAGTCCTCACAGGGGGAGGGGATAAGGGAACTCTCAGGCTTCCGTTACGTGGGCACTAATCCTATTCATAAGGGCTCAGCCTTCATGACCTCATCACCTCCTAAAAGCCCACCGCTTAATACCATCACCTTGGGAGTTAGGATTCCAACGTCTGAATAATAAGGAGGCGATAACAAATATTCAGGCCATAGCATGTATATTAATCTAATGTATTTAGACTTACAAGAGTGGCTTAAATGCTTAAAAGGATTTTGTCTGGTTCAAACCTAACACACAAAATGCCCTGCATTTGCACTATTTAAGATATTCAGATATACAATAGTTTTTCAAGTCCAAGATGCATTTTTCTTCTCATTTTAACAAATCTGCCACCTGAGCGTGACTTACGATCAATGTGGTCAGATAGCATTGGCAGTATTTTTCCTTTCATGACACTACATGAAATAATGGTGCATCTTACAATCAATGGTATCTTAGATGTGATGCTATGGTATTAAACTTGTAATAGCACTTTGAAATGTTTCAGGAAACTCAATAAACTAGTTTTACCTAGGGGAATTTAATCTGTTGAATTTGTAAGTTAATGGAACATTGATTTAAAAAGCAAGTGAAAGCAATTTTTCTTAACTTTTACAAAAATTCACAAGACTTACTAACAAAATAACAAATTGGACTTAAGAGCTTAAGAAAAATAAATTTTCCCCATTTACAATTATAATAAATTGGACATTAATTAAATACAAGCAAATGTGGATAGTACTGTCTATGCACATTATCACCCTCAGATATGAACTGAAAGGATGTCATTGCATGGCATGCAGAATGGGGGAATTTTTTCCATTGAGATTTCTTCTCAGGATCCTAACAGTTAAAAAAAAAAATCCCTCATTGCCTATATATGCCTGAAATATTGTAGTAGGAAGCAGTTTACCTTTCTCAGGGCTGAACTTTGAAGTTAATCAGTAGGTTACTGGTGATAAGCTTTACACAAATTCATGAACTTTTTTTCCGTAACAAAATTGTTATATACAAGAAGCCCATCTGCGCTAGATAATTTGTCATGGTGCTTTCATCCTAAAAGACTTGTCACTGTAAGCACTGCTAAGACAGAGGAAATTCATCTCATTAGAGGAAACGCTCCGATTATAATGGTATTACCTGCAAAAGCAGTAAGTATGCAAGTGAGAATACATCGTGTTTAAAGCCCTCAATGTGCCCATGGTTAGTATTATCTGCCATTCAAGCGGTCAAGCTAGATTCCTTCTCTGTTCCCATATCCATTTAGGAAACAAACTTTGGTTCTTCCTTTGATATAAAATACGCCTTTCACACGGTATGAGCCTTTGGTTCTTCCTTTCACATGTTATTACTGTATGATGAAGGCAGTGAGAGTGGGGTGGGGCTCAAACCTACCCCGCCTTTCTCACAGCCACCACTACAGCCCCAGCCTTCCCTCATTCCCATCAATGCCTTCTAAATATGGAAACATTCAGCAGCAACATGGATAGACCTGGAGATCATCATACTAAGTGAAGTAAGCCAGAAAGAAAGACAAATACCATATGATATCACCCATATGTGGAATCTAGAAAAAAAAAAGACACAAAAGAACTTATTTACAGAACAGAAACAGACTCACAGACATAGAAAATAAATTTATGGTTGCCAAGGGGGATAGTGGGTGGGAAGGGATAAACTAGGAGTTTGGGATTAACGGATACACACTACTACATATAAAATAAAAAAGTTTCTACTGTATAGTGCAGAGAACTATATTCAATATCTTGTAGTAACCTATAACGAAAAGGAATATATGTATGTATATGTATGACTGAAACATTATGCTGTACGCCAGAAATTGACACATTGTAAGCACTATACTTCAATTAAAAATAAATTAAATGAATGAACTTAGGAAAAAATACGGAAATATTTAGAAGTTCAAAACCTAAGTATGGGAGGCCTCTCTCTCGATTACTGCAGGATTTAATTTCAATAAAAGGCTAGTTTTGCTTTTCAAAAGTAGTATCTTCGACAGATTGCTGTGGAGCTACTACATTGCCTGTATGTGGAAATTCTAACTTGAGAATTCTGCAGTTCTTTTTCAGCGCCTAATCGCTGGTCTCCTGCTGGAGTACCAGTCTTTCCAGGGTCCATCAGACGTCCCTCCTAAATCTGTCAGAGTAGACCGTGGGGCTGCCCATGCCGTTTTCCTTACAGTGACCAGCTCAGCCTTTAAGGCCAGCGCCAGAACCTTCCACGGGGGCCTTCACAGCCAATCAGCTGTTTCTTCTGGCTCTGTTTCAGTCTCAATCCGAACTCTATTTAAAGGACTGAAAGTTAAAACTAAGCCAAAGAAATAGCTAGGAGGTGACAGCAGCTAAGCCCCCACGGCTTTAAACAGAGTGAGGCACCGCATAAGGAGATGTTTCCCTGGAGTGTTCCTACGTGCTGGAAGGGACCTTTCACCAAAGTCACTCCTGTGTATCACTCGCGATTGCACTGGAGTCCAAGGTGTGGTCGCAGCCCAGTTAAGGAAAAAGTGGGACAGCAGTGTCTCCATTTGCCAGGAGACAGATTTCTGTCATTATAAAGTAGGGAAAATACCGTTTGTTATGCCAGAGGAAAATATGTTTACAAAGCAATTGAGAGGAATGTCTCTATTGGTCAATTATTATTTCATCTTACTCTAGGAATTACTGAACTTCAGATAAATGATTCTTCACCAAGAGTCCTCCAACAGGAGTCTCCAGGCAGGCCCCTAAACGTGTAAAAGAAGAAGATGGAAAATAAGGGTTAACTGGCAAGTTTACCGCCTCCTAAAGATACTCAGATTTTAAAATATTTAAAAACATTGAACTGGCCTTAAAAAGCCAAAATATAGCCACAGGTGACTATGTCACACATATACAGGCTTGTCTCACTGGCCCTCAGGTTAAGCAAAGAGATTATAAAAATCACCAAAGGTTTAGAAACACTTTTTTTTTTAACTACAAGGTTAAATTTTAGATAGTATGAATTGACTCTCTGCTGTTAAAGATGAAGTGATACACTCTTGTTATTTCTCCTGCTTACACTTTCCCTCGTTCCCTTTTTCAATGGTTATATTACATTTTACTTTGCCAGGTTATAAACCATCATGTTGTATTCTGTAAGAGTGTTTGTCCTAGTAATTTAGTTTCTGTTCTTTTTTAAAATGGATCCAGTGCTCGTTTCCGGTTCTTTTACCAATTT